AACATGTTTATCGACGCGCTCCTCGTCTTGACCGAGTGCACGCGTTTGGGCCGACCGCCATTTGCGTGGGCGAAAGCCTCGCTCTTCAAGAACCCGGTCGTCGCGCGGATGCTCACAGCGCTCGGCGCCGTCGCCGTCTTCCGCCCGCCCAAGCCCACGGGTCTCCAGGACGTCGACTCGGATAAGACGCCTGAAGAGATTGCGGCGGCGACGCGGACCATGTTCAAGTGCACGTGGGACGTCCTCGCGCGCGGCAACGTCGTCGTGCTCTTTCCCGAAGGCACGTCGTACACGCTCCCGCGCATGCTCAGTCTGCGCACGGGCGTCATGCGGGTCGCGACAGGCTTTGTGAAGGAGCACAACACGCCCATCACGGTCGTGCCCCTCGGTCTTACGTACTTCAACAAGGACCACTTTCGAAGGTACGACATCTCTCTCTCGATACATGCCCGACTCGTCTCATGCGATGTTACGTAGCGAGGTGACACTCGAGTACGGCGCGCCGATTGTGATTGACCAAGCCACGATCCAATCCGAAGCCTTCTTGGCCGACGAGTACGCCGAAGTCAAGCACCTCACCGAGCAGCTCCAGGTACGAAGCGTACCATTATGCGATACCGACTCGAATCCGCATGGGTGCTATAGGAGCGCATGCACAGTGTGACGCTCAACGGCAACGACTTTAGCTCGCTCCGCATCGCGCGTATGATCAAGCGACTGTATGTGGGCGGTCCGCTGAGCCCGAAAGACGACGTACATTTTACGCAGCAGCTCATCGACCTCGTCGAAGGCAAGCTGACGACCAAGGAGACGGAACAAGTGTACGCACCTCCGATTGGAGTTTTTGGAGTTTGAGAGAGATTTGTCGTAGTGTGTTGGACCAGCTCAAGACGGATGTCGTGACGTATCAAGCAAAGCTCGACGAGCTCCGCCTCAAGGACGCCGATCTGCTCGTATCGCTTGAGAACGAGTCGCTGCTGCAGCTCGTGCTCGAGCGCCTCTGCTACCTCGTGGTTCTTCTTCCGCTGGCACTGCCCGGCATCCTGCTCAACCTGCCCTTTTACCTCATTGGTACTAGCCTCCGAATTCTGCTGTGACATCTCACGCATGTCCATGTCCTAGGCAACAAGCTGAACGACCTCGCCGGTTTTACCGAGTCCAAGTCGATGTTCAAGCTCTTTGCTGGCATGTACGACCGTCGACATTGCACTTTTGGCTATATGCATCAAGTTGATATTAACTCGAATTGCTAGGGTGCTCGTGCCGCTGCAGTGGGTCTTCCTCATTGGCACCGGCTGGTATTTGTATGGGTCGACGGCCGCGTACGCCGTGGCGATTGCCCTCCCGCTCTGCTTTTACTCGCACATTCGCGTGCTTGAAGAAAGTCGGTCGATCCTCGAAAATGTGTGGTTTCTCGGGACAATCGCGACCCGCAAGGACCGCGTCACCAAGCTCCGCGACGACCGTGCGCAAGTCGCGGCGACCGTCAAGGTACTTTTTACCTCAAGGATTCTAAATCGTAAACTTAGTGGCTTATATGGTGCGGTAGGCGATTGTCGAGACGCTGGTGAAGGATCCGATCATGGACAACGTCAAGCGCGCCGTGTCACCGATGCATCAGACGCTGCGAAAGCGCACCAAGTCACGAACCGACCTCTCGTTTATGAACTCGACGACCTAATCATCGATCAGATGGTTGGTATACTTATAGCTTATGAGGTATGGCTGCCGAGCATCAGCAGTGGGGTGGACATGACGCCAGTAGGCCGCTTTGCTCGTGGTTGTTTTGAAGGTTGTCTTGGAGCTTTAAAGATCCAAGGAGGTCCATAACGCTTGATTTGTGTCGCCATCGAGCAGAACAAAAGAGTGACTCGCCGGACACAGATCGTACTGTACCAAAGATGCTTTTGACGCGCTTAGCACTGAATGTTACGGTGTCAATAATGCTCCTGGTCGCACTCTGCTCGGTCGCTCATGCTCGGCGGCTTCTGGCGCCCACCTGACCTGCGGGTCGGCAGGGACATTGTCCAGGGCCAGCGCACCCATGGACGCGCACAGCCTTCTTTCAGCTACAACTGTACGCTCGGCTGGGGCGGCAATGGCGTAGCTGGCAAAGTCGCTCAACGAAGACACTCCAGACATGCAATGTGTATCACGTCGGACGACATCGACGATGGAGCACAGACTCATTGCATGTCTCGCGCTGAAGCAGCGTGGCCTCGCGCAAACACGACGGCTGCAAACCCTTCGGCCCACGCTGTCGAGGCCTCTGTGTACGCGTCCGAAGCTTCCGCAGGCGCGACATCGACGTTGGCACCAGTTTGCATTGGCATCGCACGCACTCTCCACGTCTAAAACATGCGCTAAAAGTTTTTATCGTTGGCAACGCTATCGGCTGCTCGTGCTTCGAGGTCGTCGCATGTGGCAATTCTTTACGAGAGACTCTGTTTTCCAGAGCTTCAGTCCGATACCATCAAGGCCAAGGTCTGGGACCCGGAGTTCGATGAATGCTCGATCGGTTTGCTTGGACATGAAGGTCGAGCTATATCAAAGGTCGCTTGGTGGCTGCTTGCCCCTGAAAAATGGCGCCAAAAACCTCTTAGAATACATGTCGTGTCGCTGCACGTGTAACGATATTGCGCGCCAACCCCAACCTTTATCAACGGTTGGATTCGGTGCGATTGACGTGCTTCAGTAGCCAATAACTGGTAATTGGAATCCCATCAAGACGATTCGACTCCTCTACGCGACCATATCGAGGTTAATTCGTGGCGGTAACCTTCTCGATAGAAGGCGAGCTGGCTGCCCTACGCAGTTGTGACCATCTATGATTGACATTTATTTGCTTTGAAAGCTTAAAAGATCGGCCTTGTTGCCACCGGCACCTTTCTCCACTCGGGTAGTTCATTGGCGTCGCAGAATGTAATACACACCGTCATCTCTAGTCTGTCTGGTCTCGGCGTGTGTTCCACCGTACAGGCCGAGCAAGTGAAAGGCGTGACATGTCGATAGTTCACAAATTAATATTGATCCAAGATTGTTCTAACTCTAACATAATAGTAATAGGGTACAGCGTATTTTACGCGACAGGGGCCATGGTGCAGATACGGCACGCACACGGCGCCGTCGACGTCGTGAGTCGCCACGTGGCGGACATGGCGCCGCCGTGCTTGCAGTGCAGCGACTTGTGCAGCTTCTCGCCGTCCGCGAGCGCTTGCTGGATGTGGAGGTGCTGCATGAAGAAGCATGTGAGCGGCTCGCGCAGCCGCGGCTCCAAGCCTTCGAAATCAAAGTTTTGGCGGGGTTGGAACTCGGTCGTCAGAAAACGAC